CCCCGCGCTCCTCCCTCCCACCGCCCCGACTCGCCAGCCCAATAACAAGCTGTTGAGCGGAATCGGGGCTCCGCCCGCTCTCATTGGCCCGCCGTGACGCCCGGGGGGCTTTGCCCCGCCCGGATTGGGCGCCGCGGACAGCACCCCCATTGGCCGGCGGCGCGGGCAGCACATTGGCCGGCCGGCGACGCAGGTAAGGCGGCGCGGGCCGGCGATTGGCGAAGCCCCGCGGCTCGGCTCCATTGGACCCCGCCGAAGTGAAGTCAGCGCTCGTCTCACGCCGGTTGGTCGGAGCTTCTCGGCGGGGATTGGGGGGAGAGGGCCAGTGCCGAGGAGTTGGGCCGCGCGGAGCATGCGCAGTGTTCGAGGCCGCCCGGCGCCATTTTGTGAGGGATTCTTTCCCATTTTAGGCCGCGGGAGGCAGGAAGCGGGAGCGGCTGTCGCTGCCGCCTCCATCCCCATCCTCCCCATCCCCGTGCCCTGCGGCGGGGCGGCCGCTCCCTCCCTGCCCGTCGTGAGGGCGCAGCGGCGCTCGGGAGCTGGACCCGGAAGTGGAGAGAGCCACCAGCTCAACCCAGCCCCCGCCGGGGAGTAGCGGCCCGAGGAGGAGGCGGGGCGAGGAGACGGGCGGGAACCGGCCTCGCTGCTCCCCGCCGCGCCGGACGAGTGAAGCTGTCGGGGTGTGTCCCCGTGTGTGTGCGTGTGTGTGCGTGTCACTCAGAAGCGAAACTGCTCTTCTTCCGTCCCCTCTTTCCCTGCCAGGGCACGAGGCTGAAGCCGGACCCCGCTCTCTCGCTCCCCTCTGAAGGAGCCGGTTTGAGGCTCGGGCTGCGGTTCTCGACCTGCTCGTGCTCGAGCCCCCTCGGGACATGCTGGCCACTCCTGTTTTTGTCACTGCAGACACACCCCGAGCGGTCCTTCTGTGGCAGGGCTCGGGGGGCAGTGCGGCTGTCACCTGGTGGGGTCTTGTGTCCGGTGAACGGTGGTCGCACACCTGACGTGCCAGCGTGTGGCACCTGCAAGAGGACCTGGAGGCATGCTAGGGGCCCCCGATGCCCTGGCCGAGGATCCCTGCATTGGCGCTCGCGTGGTACGTCCTGAGCGGCAGTCGCACACGTGTCTCGTATGGGCAGTTGCACAGTCGGGGAGTGCCTGGCAGTCGGTTTTTGGTAAATTTAGATTCTGATTTATCTTTGGTACCTCTAGACTCAGCAGGCCTGTTTCTCATTTAAGGTGAATGGGGATAGTTTCATAATGTGTTTCCAGATGCTCAGTAACTATCAGGTACTCATACTTTTTCCAAACTACAGCATATTACAATAAGGCCTCTTATTACGGTGAATTTCAGGAGGGAACAAAGCTTATCAAAATGTGCTTTGCTTGTAAAGATGTGCGGCATTTCGTATGGTCATTCTTGGGGTCGCCGTGTAGTAAATGGGGCAAATAGGGTTTCGTACCTTGTTTTATAGGTTAAAGCGAGCACCTAAACTGAAGACCTGAATCTTAAATACATTGTTATCTTTTAAATATGGTAAAGATTTAAGCTCAGTTTAAATCTTCACGCGTTTAATTTCATTACTTTAGGTAAGTAATGAACTTGAAATTTGAGGTGGGTGGAATGCCTTTGCTAGCACTCCTGTACCTGCCTGCTGCTGCTTATTTGAGCTCCCCAGTGAGAATTAGCAGGCATTTACTGATGGGGAGCTTCTTGGGGCATCAGGACTTTAGGTATTGTCTGCTGAATTATGCCAGGATCAACAAGAGCGAACTGCCCTCCTGCTTGCAGCTTCTAAGTCTGTTCTGGTTTTAGGGTTCGGTTTTATTAAATTTGAAGTGTCACAAAGAAACCAACAATCCCTTACGCTGCTCTTGGGAAAGCTTATTAGTTGGGCCATATCTAATATTACTTAGAAGGTTAATGTGTTAGGAAAGAGGTGACTGGGAACCTTTAAACCTATATGCGTGAAGGTCAGACCCATGTTGTGATCTTTTGAGATTGGTAATTGTTTGGTAACTGGAACAAATAGTTCGAAGAGTTTTGTCTTTTTTTGGTCCTTTAGGGGTTTTTTGGTGGGTTGTTTTTAATAATTGAGAAATTCAGTGCAAGTAGACTGGCTTCTTTACTCATGAGACTGTTAGTTCTTTTTATAAACTGTTCAGATTCCATAATGGATAAACTGGAGAGATGGTATTACTGCTTACAACACAGGATTGATTTTACTGTCATCATTGTAAGTGTATTTAAAGCACGTGAACACATAGCTTGAAGGTTGGCCCTTCAACCCTTGTATCATTTGTTTGGAATGCAGTGCTCAAGGCATGATTTTAGATTGTGAATTTTGGGACAGGAATTATGCTTTTTATATAGTGCTGCATACACCAGTACTCAGTAAATGTCAGTTTAATCCAAAACTAATAAGTCTCATTTGGCATCTGTAGCCCAAGAAATGCTGGCCACCTGCTGATATGTCATTGGCAGCAAAGGCCATGTGGAAGGTTTAGGAAGTTCCTGATGTATTAGTTGCATTCTCTAAAACAAGATAATTTTTGTGTCTTGTGGATGAGCGGTACTACATTTTATGTATAAATATGAAAAAAGTCCAGAGGGGAGGCTAGCCAGTCAGGTCACCAAAGAGTTTAAACATTCTGCATTGCTCATCTTTTTTTATTTTATTGGATATGCTTTTTTTTTTTTTTTCCAACGAGATCTGAGAGAAGCTGTTTGATTTAATTTAGATTTTTGTTTTTCATGGAAACGTGAATTTCAGGATTCAGTATGAAATGACTGTTTTATGTGTTGAAATTTGAGAGTTTTGTTTTTGTTCAGTTGGGCTTTTTTTTAGATGCATTGCAGTGTAAATACTTTACAGTTGGAGCCCAAATTAGGGTCTATTGCTTATCATTACTTTTTCCACCCTCACTTTAGGAATATCTTCTGTGGACACAAGTTTTTGTGATTCAGTGGATTATATAATACCTCCAGAAATCTACTTGCTGTACAAAACTACTCTGGGGCGGGAGGGGGGGGCTTCAGAAGGAGATAAATCACAGCAGAAGCTGTTATGTTAATAGAAAGACTCTTAATTCTTCCTATATCTTTCTGCCTGATCTTTCAGAGAGACATTGAAATCAGAATTCTTACACTGTGCATTAACGTAAGAGCTTTATTTAAGAACAAATTTTGAAACTTGTTGAAAGATGAAAAGCTGTCCATGTCCTATAACTTTGTGAGACTTTTCATGCTCTAATTAAATGTAGGTCAGGGGTTGGCAACATTTTTGGGCAGAGTACCCAAAAACACCTGCAACCTCAACTTGCGTTGGGGTGCTAGTGGCATATGGCAGGGGAACAGCCAGGGGCCCAATCCTTATTGTGTTAGTTAAGTCCAGCACCTTCTGTGCTGTCTGCCCCGAGGCATGTGTGCCAAGCAGGTGGCCTTTGCATACCACACTCTGGCACCCATGCTGGGGTTTGTCTACCCCTGATATAGGTATTGAGCAGTTTTAATCAAATATAAGAATATAGATGGTGAAAGGCAACCATATCTTTAATTTTAAAAACCCAACACTTTGAAAGCCTTCCACTGACCAGATCTGTCAAAAATTATAGCAAGACTGAAACAGTGAATTGTGAATTTTATTGTATTGCTTACAGGAGCATAAATAGCAACCAAAAACAGATTGTAAAAAAGTAAGATTTTTTTCCCCCCCTCAGTTTCTTCCCCCTGACTAGATCATCCCAGCCAAAGCTTTGTTTAGCTGGGTCTTAAAAACCTCCTCAGCCTCTTTGGGTAACCTGTTCCAGTGCTTTCCCCTCCTAGTGAGGGAGTTTTTCCTCATATCTAACCTCCCTTGATGCAACTTGAGCCTATTGCTCCTTGTTCTGTCGTCTGCCACCACTGAGAACAGTCCAGTTCCGTCCTCTTTGGACCCCCCTGCAGGGAGTTGAAGCCTGCTGTTTAAACCCCCCTCTGTCTTCTTTTTTCCAGACTAAAAAAACCCAGTTCCCTCAGCCTCATCAATCACATGCCCTAGCCCCCTAACCATTTTCATTGCCCTTCACTGGACTCGCCAGTTTGTCTACCTCGTTTCTGTAGTGGGGGGCCCAAAACTGGACACAGTTTAATTTGTGTACACATGTAAATCCAAATGGCTTTAGTTGCCTTCAGAATACTGAATGTTGTTTAGCTGCTGCTAGCTTCTCTGTCTGAGCTTGATAGACAGAGTCCAGTATATCTTTGCAAGTGTCTAGAAGATGTGTGGGTAGCAGGTCCTTGTGATGCTTGTTTTGTTTCTGGTTCTCTATTGGTTTTCTTTTGTCTTTTCCCAGACTTCCTATCCTGTCTAATCAGTGGTATGGACTGCACTGGTGGTGAGCATATGTTCCAATAATGCGCTTCACCCTTTCTTGAAGTTCAGGACCTCTGTGCCAGTGGAATTAGCATCTTTCTCCAGAACATGAGCGCCATATAAATGCCACAAAGCTGTTATCATATCATAGGTGATTATGAACTGTGGAGAAAGAATGTCTAAGAAAGGAACTAACACCCGTTAATAGTTGGGAGCTGTCACTTGCGGGGGGGCAAGTCATGTAAAAGTAGATTATGGACGGAGAAGGGTTAATCTAGTCTCTTAGTGAAAACGGAACATTTTTTGTCACTGTTGAGAAGTAGCAAATTATTAATTTGACATCTGGCAATGTTGACTGCTTATGAAGAGGTTTTGTTTGTAACCAATTCTGGGCTTTGGTTGTGTTCACAAAACATACCTACAAAACCCAGCCTGCAAGTCATGACCAAGCCCCTGCTTATCTTTCATGTTCTTGATTTGAGCTGCTGTTGTGGAAGCTGCAAACACGAGTTGCTCCATAGGAGATTTGAGCAACGCTTTGTCCTGTCCCCCCTCCCAAGTTACTGATGGCTTCTTGGGTCCATGCCTGGCATTTATTTGGTAGCTGTTTAGTAATGTTTCCAGATATATGGACTAGTTATTAAAATACACCACTGTGTTCTGAGGCAACACTAGAAACTGCTCCAAAGCTACTCGGAAGAGATACAATTCTTGGGCAGCAGCGCTCACTTCACAGCTACCGCTGCGATTTCCTCTGAGGATGCTAGTGAAATGCTGATTGGCACTCACACCTGGGTAGCGCTTGTCAACAGTGTTCCCAGAAGTTCCACTGATCTCTGGGGAAAATTAAAATCTCATTATTATGGAGTTACGTGAGACACGTTTCTGTTCTGCTTTGTGGCAGCAATTTTCAGCCAGGCTGGTCCTAACTTAGATAATACATTGCTGAACTGTGCATGCATCAGTGTACCTGCCTGTGCCAGCAGCAGTCTCGTGCCAAGAAAAGAGATTTCAATTTCTGGCTTGCCATTTTCTCTTTAGTTTCAAACCAGTTTGCTTGGTCTGCATGTTTTCTGGCTTGCAAAGCACAATCCTCTAATGCTAAATGTGCTTCTTTAATGTTCTAGGACAGATACAGTAATTCTGCACATGAAAACAAAGAACAAGAACTTTATTGTAAGTAAGATTATTTTTATGCTTTCCTGCAAGCTTTTCCTATCATCACAGCCACTTCACTTTAGTGGAATACTGGCTATTCTGAGAATAGGGTGTGGAAGCAAACATTTACTTCAGGTTTCTTATTAAAAATGTCTCTTTCACTTGTGGACATACCATTCAGTAACTTGTCTTTCCTGATACAGACTAAGGTTTGAATTGGAAATCAAACATTAACTGTGATATCCTTGTCTGAGTCACTTTATGTATCCAGTAGTGACTGAAAAATTAACATGTTGGTAATCTGTATTGCCCTGGAGGCAGAGATCTGAGTAACAGCTCTCCCAGCTGGATGTTGACTTTTGATCAGTGGGAGCCAACTTTTTTTGGCACGTGTGCCACATTAAGCCCCACACCTTCCCTGAGTGCAACTCTTAATACCTTTCCCCTGCCTACTCTGCTTGCTTCTCCTTGCCTGCTTTCTGCTCCTTGCCCATCAGTCTGCCACATAGAGGCTGCTTGTGGCACATGTGCCACAGGTTGGCCACCTCTCCCTTGCATCATTGATCTGCTCTCTTTACTTGAGGGTTGGGACAGGACTGTACTTGTTGTCACTTTTATGGAGACCTTGGGACCTGCTGTCTCAGCAGAGACTAAAGGGATTGAAATAAATCAGTTTGTAACTTTGCATTTAAAACATATGAGGGATTATATTAATGTCCAAATCAAATAATCGACCTTTTTGAATGTGGGGCCAGATTATGAACTTTTTATCACCCAGTGGGCCGGCAGGAGTGGGCTCTCATGTGGCCTGTCCAGTCTGCCCACGGCCTGGGGGTGCAGGGGTCAAAGGGTGATGCCTGACCCTGCTGTGTCCTCCCTGCCACCTGGGCGGCCTCGGATGCTCCCACAGCTGCGTGCCTGGGTTCAGCAGCCAGGGGGACATGTGGGGACTCTACAGGGGGGTACGGGATGTGCAGGGACACCCCCCTGCTCCCTCTCCCTGAGGGCAGCCTGAGCCCAAGTGGCAGGGGTCCCTCTCTCCCCGGGGCCCACGACTCATCACCCCCAGCGCGATGTGTGCGGGGGGAGGCGGGAGCAGCGCCAGCTTCCCGCCCCAACAGCCACAGCAGTAGCAGCAGCAGCATCTCCTGTAGGCCTGGCCGCAGCATCCCTCCAAGCTGGCATCTGTGCCCCCTGCACCCACCCACTGCACCACAACCTGTTCTAGCCCACGCAGCTGGTAGGGAGTGGCACAGGGTGGGGTTGGCATGCAAATGAGGAGAGGGGCGGGGCTAGGAATGGAAACCCTGTGATGTGGGAGAAGGGAGGAGGTGGCATGCAAATGAGGGAGGGGTGGGGTGAGAAAGGGACACGGAGGGGAGGGGCAGGGAGGAGCCACACCATGTCGGCAATGTCAAGCTGATGCGGTGTGTGTGGGAGCCTTGTCCCTTCCCTAGCCCTTCAGTAGCCATTAGGAGTCTGCTGAGGAGCTGGGGGAGGGACAAGGGGTGGGAAAGAAAGTAAACCATGTTTACTCCAGTTTCCCATCGCAGCACCACAGGCCTCAGAAAATGGCTTAGCGGGCCGCATGGTGGCCCACAGGGCATATATTGGACAAACCTGGTTTACAGGGTCCCAGATTAGATGTATCCATCCCTAACAAATGCATTTATGCTTTCTTCCTAGTCTCATGAATTAAGAATGTATCCTGCATTGTTGGCTGGATACACTTTTTTGGTATTAAATCAAGTTGACACATACTTGCATGCTTCATGGATGCAGAGTGCTTCTACAATTTTTGTTGGGTGTAAATGAACTTGAATGTGTTGTAGAGCTTCTGTGCAAAAATGGGTAAGTTTGTGGTTTGGTTTGTTTGGTTTTTTATTTGGGTTTGTAGCTGGAATGAAGTTGTCATCCTTTTTATAAACCTGATTGC